AAAACTAGAAAATTTTATGCCAATGAATCAATAAAACGACAATAGAACAGCTGTTTTTTGTATGGCTGCATGACTGTGAGTCGGTCAGGTGATGTCTCTCGATATTGCGACAGGCACGCCAGACATTTCATAGCACAAGGTAGATTAGTTACAAAAAGGAAAAAATCAAAATATTCTTAACGTACGTTCGAGGAAGAGAAATAATGTCTTCGTCGCTTGAGAATATTCGGGGTGTGCGTGTGCGGGTGTACAGAGAAAAAAAGAGAGAATTTTACTCACACCCACACCCTTGCTGAATACAAGGACCTTTTCGTAGATCAAATAATAGTAAAATTTGCACGTAATAAAAACTGTAAAGAAAAAAACGCTGAAATTCTCCTGAAATTAAAGTTGCTAACGGATAAAGACTCATAAATCAAAAAAAGATGTAAGTATTTTAACTCTCAAATATTGTAACTCATTAAAACGCATTGTTTTCAGACGTTTGTCTGGCTGCATAGAGTAAAAACAAATAATATAGTGACACTTTCCGTCAAATAATGTATAAGAGCAAAAGAAACTGAAAACGAATGTGCGAATACACTAGTTGTTGCAGTGATGCATGGATCCTCTTTCTTTTACATCAATGAAAAAACTAGCCAGTGAGAGAGAGAGGAACCAATAGGCAACGTTTTTTTCTCGTCACGCACGTAACGGAAATTGTTGTGAGTGGAAGACTGCCTATCCTCCAATACACCCACAACCAACTTTTCAATTATAATTAATGATGGTCGATAATAATCATTTATCTTTCTAATTTATTTTCGAAGTAGAAAAAGCAGCGATGAAATCATTCTTGCATTATATAAGTAAAGAGGAATGTAATAGTTACGTTCGGGCAAGCCAAAAAACAACACTCCATTAAAAAACGGTAAATTGTTATTCACTCCAGTACCTCATTTCGCAGTAAAGAAAGACATATTCAAGTTCGCCGAATTGTTGTTAATTGAAGAAAGGATTTAAATTGTTCAGATTTAACAATTGGAGCGAATAGAAACAAGAGTAAGTGCTCCTAATTCGTTTTCTGAAATCAAAAACAAAAATAATGACAGTGTTGGTTCTTCATACTCCTGCGAGCGATTCACAATTGTTGTAGAATTTTGGTGGTATTCGTAAAAGATTAAGCACACTGCTTAATGTCTAACATTCAGCGTTTCTAATCGGAATCTGAAACAGAGTACCCATCAGTGCTGTATTGTGAATAATACAGTACCTGTGGATATTTTACTCTAACGAGGGAAAGTCTCTGACTGTTTCTCTAGGAGGGTGTGGGTGTAGTCATTCAAAGAGTCCTCTCACCCACACCCACACTCAAGTCCTGATTTGTAAAATTTGAATTCGGTAACCCTGTGTGTATACTAGTAAAACTCGAATACCATCTAGTTCTTTATTGAAATTTGAATGATAAAGCGTAGAATGAATGCGCTCTGTGCTCAGTGGTGATTTCGAATAGAATCGTCAAACTTTATTCGTGTCGAGCTGGTACACGGCTTTAGTGATTTGGAAAAAATTAATTATGTTTATAAGTGTGATTCTTTAAATGGGCTACAAATTATTGTACAACAATAAGAATTTATCGAACGGACAAAAAACAAAACTCAACTAACGACATGTATATTCATGTAAGAAATAAAACTATGATAGTTTTGCATTGATTTCAGTCAAGGTCACTATTTCAAAAGCATAATTTACCGGATGAAATCAATTCATGGATTCATAACAGAATTTATTTCGTTTTCATTAATTGATTCAGATATTTCTCTTCGAGGTGAAATTTTTGTCAAACTTTGTTGATATTCATTGATTAATTTAGCACATGATTCATGATGATTTTCCAGAGCCAATTGATATGCAGTCAATTGTCTAACACTGAGAATTGATGGATCACAAGGTTCGGGAATATCCGACTGAAGTAAACTACGAATTATCTCCATATAACCGAGGCTAGCTGCCATATGTAATGGTGTTTGTCCATTTCTATTTTTTAAATTTGGATCAGCTTGAGTTTCATGATTTTCAGATAAAAGAATTTGAATGAGCCTAGGATTATTTACTCGAACTGCTACATGTAACGGTGTCATTTGATCAGGATATCGAAAATTTGAATCACAATTTTGCGACGATAGAAAGAGATCAACAAGATGTTCATTTTGAATATCAACTGCATAGTGTAAAGCATTTTTTCCCTGAAAATCTATAGCATTAATAACTAGAGAAAGAAAAATTGAATATATCATTTTTATGAAGATTAATTATGAATATTCTTACAAGCATCAGCTCCACCTTATAATAAAACCGCACAAACTTGATAAAATAATGGTGGATTTTGAGTACTACTAATAACAGCCATAACTAAGGGTGTTCGTTGTTGTCTATCAACGATATTTAATCTTGCACCTTCATGAACAAGACGCTGTACTATATTCAAATTTCCTCTGGCAACAGCCAAATGCAATGGAGTCTATTTAGATGAAGAAGAAAAAAACAATTTCTATTACGTAAAAAATAACAAATAATTTACTCGGGCTTGTTGGTCTTGAAGATCGATTGTACCTGGACGAGCAAGGCACTCTACTTTTTGAAGCTTACCTTCCCATGATGCCTTGTGTAGTTTATATTTTTCAAGTTCTCTTGGATTGATTTGATATGTTGAGAGGTTGTCTCGAGATGAAGCTGAGCGAAGATTTTAACCTGCAACAGTTCTTTGATTGTTTTCATTGATTGATGGTTGTGGACCATGAAATGAACGTTTCGATGAACTACTGAATAAGCACGAAAGAAAATTTCTCATCGTGTTATTGTGTCAATAGAATTTTCGTCTTTTGTTTTTTATGGCAGCTAAAACAAGTAATGAAAGCAACGAACAACACAAATGGAGAATGAATCGGTGCACGCCGATCACGTCAAAAAAAATGGACGATGCTATTCATGTACGATGTCTAATTTATAATGGAGCAGTCATTTTCTCTATTCAAATGCTTGCGATATATCGACAAAGTCTATGTCAAGCGCCATTTCATTTATGCCTCATATCTAGTTAAACGGTAACAGTCTAGGATGTCCTTTCAGTAAAATTAAAATAATGCTAGATGATAATTTTTTTGAAATGCAGTTTAGTTTATTATAACGGATTAAATTTCATTATATTTTTCATTCGCAACAAAAAACGAAAGTCCACGTAATAAATCTTGCGGTGTAATTTGGTTATTGTTGAACCGATTATATAATTCAGTGATTCGTTGTTCAGCAATGGTGGACTTCGATCGTTTTGTACGAGGTTCTGTATTCAGTTAAACGATTGGGTTTTGATTTCTTGATTAACAAATATATTCGATTGGCTTCTTTTAGTTAATTACATAGAATCGTTACATCGAAATTTTTGCTTTCTCTGTGGCTCAAAGAATGAGATAAAAATATATAATTATCGGATAAACTCCTCTCCATTGTCTCGTAACTAAGTAACAATAAAAAAAGACTTTCTTGACATTTAAATGAGTCGAACACATTTGATCGTGTAATGGTTTTTTGAAATTTGTTGCCGGCACATAGGATGTGTACCATAGGCTTATTCGCAAGTTTTCTCAAGTAAAATTTTTGTTGATTAGAATAAAAAAATACCGTGCCTTTCGGCTACCTGGCAGTGTGGAGTGCTGTCCGAGGACAGTTTCGATAGGCACTATTTTTTCCTGCATCTGTTGCTAAATGTAGCTATGGGCAGAAGGCCGGCCTGACTCAGAGTTCCTCTCGCTTAATCACCTAAGCTTCTCGTACATACTGACTAACCACTAGTGCACTAATTTATGTCAACAATGTAGTGAGTTTGTTATCAGATGGGTGAACCGAGACAAAATTAGCTGTTAGTGACTTGTCCAGGGTTATTCTATGACTGATGCAGCCCAGGTTCGAACAGATTTCTTGTGGATATATGTCAAACATCTTAACCATTCAGCCATAACGGCGTTTTGATGATTAAGAAGGCTTCACTTGACTTTCCAGTGGTAGATGACATCTTTTATAGATAATGACTGATGCAGCCCAGGTTCGAACAGATTTCTTGTGGATATATGTCAAACATCTTAATCATTCAGCCATAACGGCGTTTTGATGATTAAGAAGGCTTCACTTGACTTTCCAGTGGTAGATGACATCTTTTATAGATAATCATTAATGAAAAAAGAAAACACAAGGGAAAAACTTCGAAATATGCTTGATTCTTTGCTCGTTACTTTTGTGCAAATTAAAAGCAAAACAACATCACAGCCTAAGGTCTATTTGATTAACCGAACAGAGTCTATCTCTATATTCGTACGAGAATCATTTGTGCATTTGCTTTTTGTTTCACACATCGATTTGACCAATCATTTATTCTAACGAGAAGTCTTTATACAAATATAAGCTCCCCTTTTTTTTTAATCAGTGTTCTTCTCTCGCTTTTTTTCCTCCTTTTTTCTATCAGATTAAAGCAGCAGAACCACGGTTACTCATGACAATGTTTCAAAACAGAGAACAACGAGATGGTCTTCGAGTTTCGCTCATTTACGAAATGCGATGCAAATAGAGGTGTCAGCTGAAGGGTTGAACGGCGGCGGCAGGCAACTATTTTCAACTTTTGAAGATTTCCAGTGGCTCATTATTTGAATGATTGGGTGTGGGTGTGGTTGTTATAACTGCAACTACACCCACACCCTCAAGAAAGAAATACATCCAACTGTGATTATTAAACGTCATTCGTCAAATATTCAGATCGGAGAAAATGAGAAATAAAAAAAACCACTGAGTCATTTACATTCCTGTATTCAGTATTACTCATCGTAGCATACAACAGGATTTTTGTAATTACATGTAAGCACTAACATAAGATGAAATACACTTGATTTTCTCTTGGCAACGCGGCGTATTTTTTTTCTTTTCCTTCTTTTCCCCTATTATATATGTATAATCAACGAACATCTTTTAGAGCTATGAAAATCTACGCATTTTGCTCATCATTATTGCAACGTATTCATGCTCAACGTCTTCGAGATAATCATAATAAACAAATGGTATACATTAGAGAAAAATTGACCATTTGGTTCATTTATATTTTGGTAATATTCGTATCTCGATGTCCGAACCGAGTGTACAATGCATTGGAAGGTCCATTTCCAATGAATTTAAATAAATTTAGAAATCATTTACAATTCAGTTATAATCTATTTGGATATCAACCTTTTTTTACATCGCGTTTGGTTGTGTTTGAACCTGAGTATATTCAAATTGAACTGGGTAGAAATGCAATTGATGAAAGCATCGAAAATAGATATCGAGTTTTCTATGATGATTATTCACATGGAAAATTGTTATACACATTCAATCGTGTTCTAGAACCAACCACTGATACACCACATATGACATTGTTTATTAAATTTGCCTCATCTGAACAATCTTATTCTCAAATACGCTATCCATATCATTTTGAATCGTTTACCACAAATACAGTGCGATGCATTGTCAACAGCTTGGCATTTTGTCGTCAGAATTCATGCGGTGGCTTGAAAAATCGATATACATCGAAACCATTGAACAAATCTATAATCGAAATTCAACAGAATTCAATAGAAAAGTGATCATAAAATGTGGAATTCTAATTGGATACCTTTATCGACCGACAGATAAAGATGTTTTCCAAACATATTCAAATCAACTCTATCAATTTAACGAACATGTCCGAATACTCGATGCTTCATCGTCCTATACTCCTTATATTTCTTGTGTTGTTTTCGTTATTTGCGGCCTTTTCGTGTGTCTTCTACTGACAGGTGTTGGAGGTCTCGTTGAAAGCATCATCTCTGTTATAACTCCGTCACCACTAATTTTACATCCTCGTATTCAAGAGCAAATGGAAAACTCAAATATTGACTCTTTAGACCATTTGGATCGTCTTTTGTTAAATACAACTCAAGACAATAATTATAAAAACTATCTGTTTATAGTGCATGATAAATATCTTGCTATGTTCATGATGGATTTAAATGAACATAATGACGCAGTTTTTCGAAACTTCAATGAAAATATCCCTTTCCATATTATTCCTATCGAGAAGATTAGTGAGGTCGAATCGGATTGCATTATTTTGAACAATGATAATTATGGTCGATCCCTTGATTTTCCTACGCATAAGTACGATACAGATTTTAAACCAGCATATTGGTTGCATGAACGATTTATGGTTCTTAATGGGGAGTATCGATATCAGTATGTTCGAACTACTTGTTACATTGTGGCGACGAAAAAGTGCAAAAAGTTTTTGTATCGTTTTTAGTTATGAACAAGAAGAAGAGGTACACCGTCGTCAAGAGGAACGCCAGTGTCTACTGGAATTAATGATTGAAGAAGAAGTTCAAAAGCAAGAAAGTCTATATGGAAATGATATTAATCGAATACTGGATGGCACAAGATCAGTGTCACCGCGTTTCATTGCAGAATTTCGTTTGAGCCATTTGGATGCACTCAATAATGATCTGCCGGATGCAACATGCCGGATTTGTCTTGACGATTACAAAATAAATCGATGCTCTGCTCAATGGCCTTGCCAAGCTAGACATACATTTCACTTCGATTGCATGCTAGATGTTTTACGAGCAGGAAACATGTGTCCATTATGTCGACATCCCGTTGAATCAACGCATCAAAATACTATACAAGTTAGTCTTCAATTTTTATTAGAAAGAATAAATCCTAATATATTCAATTAGAATGGCAAAGTAGACAGACAATTCAACTTTCAACATTAACCGATTATTGTGGATAAAACATGGAAAGTGTTCACATATCTTTCATCAAATAGTATGTGTATCATCCGGTTGAAAATTTTTTAATAAACTGTTGTTAACGAATGATTAATCAAACAAGAAATATACTGAATTACACTTTTATTTTCAAATACTCACTTTATATGCTAATGACCTAGCTAAAGAAAGCGAAGAGACTGGTAAAACATATCAATGAGACCGAATAATACATAAAATGAGATACAAGAAGAAAAAGCGACCTACATCTTAGGGTCAAAGTGTGTTTTTGGAATGCGATTGCAACAAATCTAGAATAATATTGAAAGGTTGTGACAAAAGGTTTTGAAATTCGATTTTTGCTTGTATTGGAAGTTTAGTCTTGTGAGATCAGACATGGGTTTGGATTTAGATAATTAATTTACCGATGAATCAAATAGAAATAAATAATTTTAAGTTAAACAATCGTCATCAGAACCAAAACTAGTTTAGCATGAGACCATATCGAAAATTGAATAGGAAATAATTGGTTCTATTTTATCTATAGATAATAGAATGAAAATAATTAACCAATCAATATGTATTTAGTACTACACAGATCGAGTAACGACATTTCTCAAAAATTTCGCGGTCCTTCATAGGACCCCGAAAAAACTCTTCACCTTCCCGAAGTCGTGTACATCTATAACTACCTCGCCCGAGACCCTTACTTTTTATTTCCAGCTTCACCCGCCCTGCTCATCCGCCTGCCAAACAATACCCGTAACTCGTGAATCTCGGGCTAATATAAAATTTTGCTCGGCACCCGTCCTTCGTCGCGTGGCGACGCAGACCGCAGGGGCATGGGTGTGGATGAATGAAGTGATTATTTACATCCACACCCACACCCTCACCCTCATAATCAAGATCGGTATTATTTTTCAAATGATAAAATGTTTCATTTCCTTTTTATAAAAGTAAATTCTCTCGTGAAAAGGCTGATTTTTTTCTTAATACAGAATAAAAATAATTAAATGTAAATAGAAAAATAATCAAAGTAGCTTGAATTTATTTTATTTAGACTTATTATTATTATAAACTCATAGGATCATGTATCACTGAAAACTGAATAAATAAATATGATTGCATTTTATATTATTCATTTTTTTCTTTCTCAATGACGTTATAAGTTCTTGAAAACTGCTTCAATCAAAAAAATAACAACAGTATCATTTCTACTGTATTTAATGCTTCATTAATCTACATAAGATTCAAAATCAATGAGAACGAGAGATATTAAAATCTCATATATACAAAGCTATCCCAGCAGAAAAATAAAACAAAAATATAAAAACTAACAATGCTAAAAAGAATTGGCATGAATGTGTTCTCAAATGAGAAAAAATGAGAAATTTTATATTCGCTTAAATCAGACGTAGGATATCTTGGGTCTGGATTCGAATATTTCCTGAATGGATTAGCTCATAGAGGGAACGAAGATAGAACTCGACGAGCTCTATCGAATGCACTATTCGTTTTTTCTCAAACACCCTTCAAAACTGGAGAAAAATCAAAAATACTGCGATAAAACCCTTCGCGATTTGCTCAGGGAAAGGATCAAAAGCTGAGAGCGAGACAAGTCGATACAGCTCAATGAGATCTATCGAATGGACAACTTTTCGACTTGATTCGATTCTTGGATCTCTCTGAAAGGGCAAATCCTGGTCTCAACCCGAGATTTCGCCGTGTTTCACTACAAATTTTATTTCATATTAAAATTGGATGATTTTCATTAAATGTAAATATATCATATGGATTATTATACGACCAAATAATTCCATTTGGCGATCGAATATTTAAAGTATATATTGAATAATTACGTTTCATTGATGATGCAAAGATTATAGAAAATAAATATTTGATCATTTCTAAATTAATAACATAAAAATATAAAATTTACATAATTTTTAGTTGAATAAAGTTCTCCTTGTATAATTCCATGATTAATAATTAGCCCAATCATTAATTAATAAATCAATCATAGTTAAAGGTTTTGAAAGTTGTAAAATGAGACCATCTTGACGACAACATTTCATAATACGTTCTCTATCAATATAATTAATTCCATTAGCAAACGCAACTGGTCCAGTTGAAAGTGTTGATACTAAAATTTCTCTATCAGGTAAAATTTCTTAAGCTTTTGCTTTATATGGAGCACCGGGTTGATAATGAGTTGACCAAAAATATCTTTAAATGGAGCTCAACCAATAGCATTAGTTAACATCGATTATGTAATAATAATGGAAAAATTTTTAATTTATTATTTAAACCTTTATAATACCACCAGGAATGGAATGAATTGGTATTGTTAAATTTTCTCCAATATAAATAATTGTATGTTCATAATTCATATTAGATTGAGTATTATAATAGTAATAAGCACCATTATCTGTATAATAAACAAGATAATTTGATAGTTAAATCATGTAAGCGATATTTATTTTTTTTTCTATTAAATGCTTTTTGCATAAAATATACACATTGTTCGATAAGTTGATTTATTTCATTTGATGAACAATAAATAATTAAATAATAAGATAAATCAATTGGCATTGATCTAATTGAACCAATAAATCCAGATTCGAATTTATTTTTATTTATATTAAAAGAAGTTGACATAAATTGTGAAAACGGTGAAATAATAATTGAATTAGCATGATCATATTCACTTGAATTAAATGTTATTATTGGATCATCACTTATATCACTTTTGATAATCGACTTTTATTATTCCAAATTCCTGCATGTTTTTCAAGTTCACCCATCATCATTCCTATAATTAATTTTTTTTAAACTAATAAAAAACACAAGCTACCTCCAAATGTAAAATAAGCTCGATTATCATGTTTATGTCGTTTTTCAATATAAAATGAAGGAAAAAAAGTTTGAACTTGATCGAAATCAAGTTGAATATCATTATTTAAAAACCAAAATTATTATCAAAATGAAATGTTACTGCTGGAGATAATTTCCATTGACGAATTTTTTCTGTTACATTTGAACATTTTTGATTTAAATTAAAATTACAAATAAAATAAGCTTCATTAGATTCTCCTAATATTAAATCATAATGTTGTTTTAAATATAAATCAATTAAACAAAAAAGGGATCCATCTTTTGATGTTAACCATTTATTATTTGTACATAAAATAATATATGATGAACGAAGCCATACATAATTATTAATTATTATAGGGTAATTCCATGGGAACTCAACCAGACGATACCGATGTGGAAACCGATTCTGCTGAAACTTTCAGGGTTTGTAGAGCTTTTAATTCTACGAACTTTGATAAAAAAAATTTCGCCAAAAAGTTTTAAACTGGCGGAGATATGTTCAAAATACTAAAAGCAGTAAAACATGAAAAAAATAAAAAAATAAATTTTTCAAAAACATTTTACGTCTAGTTTTTTTACAGATTTTTACACTAAAGCAAGGTCGAAAATGAAAACCAAAATCATATTCAGATTCCCCATGAAAAGGCGCATCGAACCATGTTTATTATAGAGCCAGTAGTCAACATAAAAATGTCTGAAATATCCTGTGAATGAACAGCACCGACACAGAAAAAAAGTGCTATTTTCAGCAATTTTGTTTTCACAATTACTTTAAAATGCCGAATTCCTGGTGACGGTGGCATGTCACATTTGATAGAGCGTCACTTGGTCTACAATCCTGATGATGCAGAATATTCAGCGTTTCAAAAGAACACGAAATATTTGATGAATATTATGAAGTACTGCATTTATCACTTTTTCTTAAAGCCGTTTTGGAGATGAATATCTACATTTATTATAGATAACTACTTCCAATTGGGATACAATTTACATTGTTTGTAGAGCTATTAATTCTAAGAATTTTGATTAAAAAAAAATCTTGAATAGCTTTTACTTTGATTCAAATAGGTCCAAAATATTGGCAGCAGTGAAAAAAAAATTTTTTTTAAATCGACTTTTTACAAAATTTTTGCTAATTCTAACCAAGATTCTTTTACTAAGACAAGGTTGAAAATAAAATACAAGGATATATTCAGATTCCTCTTGAAAATAAGTATTCGAACATAGTAAACATAACATCAATTTTGAAAAAGTCGAATGCTAAGTATAATGTGAAGAATCATTGTTCTAGCTTAAAATCAGTCCTATTTGCGTTCGTAGTAATTCCAATCTGAATTATTCTAGATGACGATATAGTGCATTCGATAAAACTTGAATTACTCTACGATCTTGACAATACAGAATTTTGATAGATGCTTAACAATATGTAGAAAAAACCTATTCAAAACTCATCACAAAGATCTTGAATTGAAAGAAATTGTGCATCGAATAGTGTAATATTGTTTGTAGTTGTTCTAGTGGGTGACTCAACAAGACGACCAATAATATTTGCTGTTGGAATAATTATAGGCGCTGATTTAGATGCAGAGATTTTTTTGTTGGTAATGATGGCGAGAAAATGGAAACCGTTACTGGATCTGTTTTTAGATCAGCAGAAATTATTTGAGCTAAAAAAAGGTCATCCTCTTTCTCGACGATGAGAAATGTACCGTTGTTGAAGTCTTTGGAATGTTTCATATGATATAATTATTCTTCCTTTTCTATTCTTTCGATGTTTGAATTTTTCATTCAGAAAAAACAAAATGATATGCGTCGTTCGGGAATCGAACCCAAGACACAAACAGCTGGTTAACCGGACCAGTGCTCTTACCATTGAGCTACCGAAACACGATTAAACATACCATTTTTCTGAATGAAAAATTCAAACATCGAAAGAATAGAAAAGGAAGAATAATTATATCATATGAAACATGTATAACTCCTTCTAACGCCTATTAAGTCTTTGGAATCTAATATACGTGTGATAATTGCACGGGAATCAGGATTGAAGTTCAATTGAAATTCTTTTGAATTGATTGAGCTAGAAACAGAACGACACATGACCGTGTGAGATGTGTACCTTCAAACTCATGGAAACTGCGAATACCCACAATACGGTCTGTGTCGTGAGAAATATATAGCAGAATTGGGTGTGATTGATTCATTACCTTTCGTCGCGAGTTTCGTCCATCGCGTCTTCAATACGTTACGGAATGTTTCTTCTACTTCTTCTTTGTCCAGCCATTTTACTTCCATTGATCTGGTGGGACGTGAGATTGTTAAATCAGTTTCTTCATCAGTTGAGTCGTTTTCAATGTAATCAATAGCAGAGTTAGATGTCTGACTATGAAGCCCAGGTTTTGTTGAACGAAATATTCGGCTGGTCTTCTCAAGTGTGAATTGGTAAAAGTCTTTCGCTGAACAAAATGCTGCTTCAGGACCTTGCTTTAGTAAATTTGTCCGCGCTGCTGATTTTACAACAGCGCCGAGTCCATCGCATGGGCTCTTACCATGACCAGAGCTTGTAAAAGTCCACGCTGCTTTAACGGCAAAATCTTGTTGATGGAAGGCGAGATTCAACATGTTATAATTATTTTTTAAATTGTGAAGGTGCTCCATCACTAAATTAAATGGAAAAGGATGTTTACACAGTTTCCACAATATAAACACTTTTATTACCTAACGTAGTTAATCTTTTGAAGGGTAGGATATTCATCTAAAAGAAATTTTACGATTAGCTTTTGAGTGCAAAACACAAAAGTTGTATCGTGAACCATGCGATTCGAAATAATAACCATATTGCGGTGATCACCACCGACGGTTATCGCAACAGTGTACAACGATGATTGTTTTTTATTCCAGTAAGCTGATTGTATTTCTTTTTGCACCACAAAAGAAAAATTTTCCGCAAAGTCCATTTGGATTACAGCGAATGTACTAAAACTAGAAGTTAATTTAATACTTTTTATATAATCACGTTGTTGCCTGGTAACATAAGTATGAGTGACAAAGGATGGCCAGTAGGGGTGGACCATTTTTTTTAACGGAACATAATTAATGGCATTAATTAATGACTTCCATTAGCCATTAATATTAATGGTTAATGTTTTCTAAGAAAAACTTAATTCATTAATATTAATGATTAATGAAAAACATTAACATTAATTTTAAAATTAATGTTT